AATCTTTATATTTTTAATATAAAAAAAAACTCTCGACCTATCTTCCCCCTCTTTCTTTCTCTTTCTTCCTCCTCCTGCTGTTACCTCCTCTTCTGATCGAACCTAGCAAAGCTAAGATCCATTAAACCTTCTCCCCCCTTTTTCTCTTCTTGCCCCTCTTGCTTTCTCTTTTTTCCTCCTCCTATTACGACCCACCGAACCTTCTTCCCCCTCTTTCTTTCTTCCTCCTTTGGCTACTGGGTTCGTTTGAACCCAGTTCTGGGTTCCACAGAACCCAGCGATTTGCGTTAAATGAACCCAATGCTAGGTTCTGTGGAACCTAGCAACATGGGTTCAAGGAACCCGAATTTCTAAGTTTTCAAACCCATGTTTATAGATTTTTTTTGTTTAGTAACTATAGCAATTTCTATGCATATATTGAACCCTTTTGTTTGATGGATTTTTGTTTCAAATATTGTGGTTGTGGGATGGTAATTTAGTATTATTAATGTTGCAAAATTTTGTTTGTATGTTTTGGTTTGGCTATTTCTCTTGTGAGTATATGATCATTAAGTTGGATTGAAGTAGTATGAATTTTCAAGGTTTTGATTTGGTTTTGAGAAAGCAAGAGGGGGGAGAAGGTTCAGTGGATCCTAGCTTTGCTAGGTTCGGTCAGCAGAAGAGGTAGCAGCAAGAGGAGGAAGAAGGAGAAAGAAAGAGGGGAAAGAAGATAGGTCAAGAGGTTTTTTTATTTTTATTAAAAATATAAAAATTAATATGATATGGTATTTTATTTATACATGTCATCATTTTTTCTAAGTGGATGATCTACGTCATCATTTTTTTCCAGTTGGATTATCTATGTCATTAAAACAATATAAAAAATGTCACATAGACGGAGTTAACGGCTTAAATTAACAAAAGACCAAAATGGTGTAGTTCTTAGAGTTAAGAAATCAAAAAAGTGCAAAAAATAGTTCAGGAACCAAAAAAGTGCAACTCAATAAAGTTGAGAGACCAAAATTAGCATTCAACCTTATAATTATGCTAAAAATAATCATCCCACAAAGAAGAACGTTACATAAAAAATTCTTTTATATAAAGGGTAAACATTGGAACATGATGATATTTGACTTGTTTTGAAGAGTACTAAAAGAGGTAAAATATAAAAATGATACTCCTTAGTGAGTATAAAAATGCTGCTCATTAGTGAGCTAACATCTGTACCAGGGATAACATTTGACTCACATTTATCAGTGATTCAATTGGGTGCTCAAAATTTAGTCTTATTAGCCTATACAATTATCATAAGGATAATTTATTTTCTAGTAAAAATGTTTAAACTTGAATGTTACACAAGAATGTTACACAAGAATGGAGCATAGGAATTATTATTATCAGTTGCTAAGTTTCATTTAGCAAACTAAGCCACTAAATGAAGCATCTCATAAGATGAACAATATAAAAGCAGATTCCTATATGAACAAATGCATGCCGTCGTAATAGCATTGATTTTAGAATGTTACATGGGGAAGAGACTGCATGCATTTTCTTTCCTAGTTTTTTTACTTAAATCCATTCTAGACTTTATGTACTTGTTAATTTCTTATATTTTTATCTTCCTAGAATGAATTTGAATGAGTAATAAAAAAAGGCCAAGGATGCATTTTATGTATCAAAGAATGAGAAGATTTTGAATAAAAGTCTCTTGATAGATTAAGATTTAGATCTATGCCATCAGTATTGTTTTAAATTGAGTCAAACTATGAGTCATAAATAGAATACTAACTAGATTTTCACCTAAGTTTTTCATCAATCCAGTGAATAAACATAATCATCTTTAAAATCCTTTGTTTTACTTAGATACAAAAGTTGGTGGCCATCCAGAATTGAGAGAAAACTCAAGTTTTTGGCTCTTTACCAATGCAACTCAAAAGAAAATAACCTCCTCTAATTTTTTTGCACATATTATTTTAATTTGATCTAATTAAAAAATAAAAATTCTCACACAAAATTGACAAAAGACTTGATTGAGTTTTGAAATAATTTTTATTATTTCAAATTTCAGATTTTTTGTCTTGGTTTTATTTGAGTAAAATTCTTTTAAGTTCTAATCGTTTTATATATACACATAGAAAAATGAATACTAACCTCAACTCTAAAAAAATTAGAATTTTAATAATAAA